GCCGTACACCCCTGAGTCTAAAATATTATTGCAAGGCGATTTCGAAAAACGCTTTTTTGGCCGAGCCTAGGGGTAGCCATTTTAAATTCTTCGCTCACAGCGACGTTGGGCAATAAATTATTATTATTTTTTAAATAGTTCTACTAGAATAACCAAAATACTTCCTTAACAAAAGTTTAATGATTTTTAGAGGGCTCTAAATTATTGACGTTAGGATGGTACGTCAGGGTGCTAGGCACTCAAATTTTGTTGGTATGTACTAGAGCAAGGTATTTGAGGTCAATGAACTTTAGAACAAAAAAATTTTCTCCTAGAGACAAAAATATCGATATATTTATCATGCTTTATGCTCCGACTGTAAATGCCGAAAATATGACGAAAAATGACAAAAAAATGGCGAAAAAAAATGTAATTTCATCTGTGAGTGTATCTGCAGTACGATGGTAAAAAAAAAAATTTAAATGTATGTAAAGCTCTCAACCCTTAGGATTTTTCGAAATGGAAATTTTTTAATTATAACTGTTTTTATTGATTTTTTTTTGTGATTTTCCGGAGACCTATACAAATAGTATCTAATTATTAAAAAATGGTTAAATAAACAGTTGGATTTTGTGACAGGGAGTCTCCTAGAGAGAAGCAGAGTTTTCGGATCGAAAAATATTGTTTTTTAAGAATTCCATACAATTTCTACGAAAAAGTGTTGTTTCTGCATATAAAATACATGGACAACTTCATGGGCTTTGAGGTAGTTCTAACTATAAATTTAAAAAAAAAACGGATGTTATTTTTTTCCACTTAGAAAAATCCTATGGGATGAGAGCTTCACATTTAAAAAATTTTTCTTTCCGTATTTTTGGACCACTTTAGTTTACTACGAACTTTTTTATGGTACGCCCTAATGTTCATAAATAGTACTTTTGTATGTAAATAAATATCTATGTTGTTGGTAGTGTGGGCCTATCAGCTGGCTTGTTAGCTGGTTGTTGCTGTTGTTCATAGAATTAGACACGGCAATTATTTTTGCAATACAGCTAATTTGGCAGTGATTCCAAGCGAATTTCGTTTCTTGAAATATGCATATGTATTTGAAACTCTTTTATGACACTTAACGTTTAAAAAATGCACTCACTTTTTATAAACTGTTTCCTTATTTCTATTTTAAGGTTTGGTTTCAAAATCGTCGTGCTAAGTGGCGCAAACGCGAAAAATTTATGAATCAGGACAAAAACGGATATCTGCTGCCCGATCAAGGTTGGTAGTTTCCTTTCTTTATATTATTTAAAACAGATTTATTTTCTTTATCTGAACCTCTTAATCTGTTTATTATTTTTTAACTAACTACTTCACGCTTCTCATTTCACTTTTATTCGTGTCATTATTTATAACAAACTGCCCACGCGACTTGATTTATGCCCAAATTGACGTTAATGTAATTTTAATTACCTTTGGTTAAGTTTTTTGCTCAACAAAGAATAACGTTTTCCGATACGCATTATTTTATTTATTAACAAATTATGTACTACCGTCTTGCTGTTTACTATATTCCAAATTTACTATGTATATACTAATTTTCATTAACATCGCATGCAATGCAAAAAAAAAACGCATTTGACATTCCTCCATACCTCCACTAATGAATTCAATTTCAATTCCGTTTCCCTTACAGGCTTGCCCGATTTTCCGCTTGGTATTCCCCTTCCACATGGCATCCCCGGCCANTTGCCCAATTTCCATACGCTGCTCTCACAATACATGGGTTTGAGTAATTTGAATGGCATCTTCGCTGCTGGCTACCCGCAAAATCTATCCTTACACTCTGCCGCACAAGTTAGTCCGCCGTGCAGTAATAGTCCGCGTGACAGTCCACCTACTCAACAACAATCTGCAGCGGCGCTCGCGTGTCTGGTGCCCACATTAATGGTGGCGGGTGGTGGTGTGACGTTGACTTCATCGGCCGCAGCCTCGCCCAAGAGTCCCATGGCGCCGAGTGTGGCGAGCAGCGCTTCAACGCCTGTATCGGTGGTGACCAAAACTGAGGAATGAACATAACTGCGGCGAAGTTGTTGTGCGGTGACAGTTGAAGGCTGAGTGCAAATCTTTTGCTGGGCGAATAGGCGTTGTACATACATACATACATACATAAATCGGTCATACGTGCCGTATAAGTATTTAAATTGCTAACTAATTTAATTTGTAAATATATTCAATAAATAATTTAAATGCCGCATATAGTGCTAAGGGTTTGTAAGTTTTAAAGACAGAATAAAAAGTGATAAAGACTTGCTTGTTTAAGGAAGAAATGTACATTTGTATTTTAATGAGCATTTAAAGAAATGA